AGACATCCCCAGCAATAAACACATGATCCATCGTCATCTATACGAGGAAATGAAAGTGCTTCTCAACCCCGCAAGGTGTGTGAAGCTTCATTTCAGTATAGTCATAAGGACTATTTTATAGTCTAGCAGTATATAACAATCTAAATTGCAGGTGATTTCAAAAAGCAATATATACGCAGTTCTTCGAAATACTCGATTCTGATTGGTCAATCGCGCCATCCAGCGATCGGTGTAGTCCACAGCAACACTGTATACACTGTATACTGTATAAGACCGGCGCTACTTTCACATCACTGGTGAACATCTTTGCTATAGTTGTAATATTTTTAAGTGCTTTTGGGACACAATGTATGCGCTGTTAGTCACAAAGAATATTGGCTTTTGAACATCACATTTGTAAGTTTGGTCTTTTTATGTAAAACAAAGATGTTGAATTTTTGTGTAATAAAAAAATATAGTAAAATATAAAATTGTTGGTAGGTTTTATTTATGCAAATGTAGATTTGTTATGTAGATATTGTTAAAGTATGATTTGAGTATGATTAGTTGATTTTTTTTTCAATAAAAAAGAATGCCTTAAACTCTCTAAATAACTTCAAATATATATTTATTAATAGCTTTCTGTAATTTTCTGTAATTTAATTTGTTATAATTTGCTTTTATTTAATATACATCATTACAATTCAACTCAAATCAGTATTTCATATGCTTGTATTTATTTAGTGAGTTATGATCACTTTGCTGAACAATAGCTGCATTGATTTAACAAGTGTGACTGAGTAGGCCTATTTCTGTACAGAACTAACCAGGCTCAGGACTACAGGAAAGAGGGGACTCCTACACATTCTCCTGTCTCAAACTGCCGCAAAACTGAGGAAGGATTTTCTCCCAGGCAAAAAGTCGGCAAGGTATGGGCTGTCTTGTTACTGACACAAAACAAAATCAAGACAAATGGTGGACTTTGTCTGTGCGCCTACCTGTTTTTGTTAATAATCTGTAAAAGGATAAATAACCTTTCTGTCGTTTCTCAGAGCCCTTTGAGATTCAATCCACTGGTCACTGTTGGGAGAGACTTGACTTTTCAAGGCGGCTGTGGATCACCACCCAGAGAAGATCGCATCAAGATCCTGCAGAGGACCAAGGGCAGTCCCATGCACGGTTACTCGAGCATAGAGATCACTAATGTCTGAGGGCAACAGTCTGTGTTTGCCTTGGATGAACTAGGAAGGATGAGCCTCCCCGAACCTCTAAATGGACCAAATAAGCTCAATTATTTGTAAAAGAGATTTGAGAATTGACCATTTGCACTTTAAAGAATTTTGTATTGGCAACAAATCACAAATAAGCACTTAATTAAAATGTTATAGACATGCTGCATTAAGAAGAAAATATTTTGTTACTAACATAATACATAGATGAACTTGTCCTGATTCCCGTAAATTCCAGTCACAACTGTAGGTATGCAGCTAAAATCAATACCACATGTTCAGATGTCCATTCCCTACATCAAGGTCATCACAACACTGTGCTTGTTTAAAGTTACGGGAAATGCTGGAATGAGGAATAGCGCTGTGAATTTATTGTGAAAACACTTTGAATGCCACAGTAAAGTCTTTTCTGTTTTAATACATCTGTTGACATCTGCTAAGATGTTTGTGTTTTCAAAGTCTGATTTGCATATAAAATTAAAAGCAACCACCACTTTAGTAGCAATGTAGTGTGGGTAATAGATTAGTCTCATAAGGAGCACTCCAGTTTAATTGAAATGAGTTTCCCCGCATTATATATATATATATATACAATTTTAGGGGAATGAAAGAAAAACCTTTTTTTTCTCTTTTATTTCCTGTTTGTGATTTTTAACATCTCTGTTTTACCATGCATGCAGTTCAATTTGTTCAATGGAATATATTTGTATGTAAATGCGTTGTATAGTGACTATCAATCAAAGTAAGGAAATGAAAGTGTGATCTGGTTGGAAAGCCTTTAATCTTCTTTTTACGGAGTCAGAGAATTATTTTGTGTCATAAGCAGTGTTCCTAAGAGTGTATGGAAAGGTAAAATTCAGTATAATCTACAAGCCAATGCAGCACATGCACTGCACATTCTACAGCTGTGTTATCCCACTTGGAGCCACGGGGCAAGGAGAGCAAAACAAGTTTAGCAGCTCAGCGTGCAACAGCATTGGCTTTTTATGCAAACAGCCTGTCATTGGGTCCACACAGATTAGATAACACGAATCGATTAATGACTTGTTTCATAAATTCAACCAATCATTATTTTCAGATCTGGCTCGAGATCTGGTTAGGAATGGCAACTGAATCACAGATTTCCTGCTGGGTTTGATTCAGATTGTCTATTGATAGACAGTTTGACGTCAGATGCACAGCTCAAGAATATAGCAGTTATGGTGCATTTTTAAGGTGGGTTTTGCAATCGCTAATCATTTTATATCACTGTATCTTGTGGCATTAGTCAAACTGTACTTTTGAGAAACATTTGTATATAAATTCATACCATGTGTCATTGACACAATAATCTGTATAGAAAAATAAAGCTCTACATACAACACTCAAATGAGTGTTGCTGTGTGTTTGTTTATCAGATTGGTTTTATATATTATACACGGCTGTTCATAAGTTTGGGGTCAGTAAGATTTTTTGAAATTAATACTTTTCATGAATTAGCCTATAAGAAATGATTTATTTTTTACAAGGATGCATTGCCTTGATCAGGCATGACAGACAAAAACATATGTATAACAGAAGATTTCAATCTAGTCATCTAAGAATCCTAAAAAAGTATCAAAGTTTCCACAAAAAAATTAAGCAGCACAACACTGAAACAACATGTTTCCATTGATAAAATCATATGTGACGCTGAAAACTGGAGTAATGGAATGGTAAATGAAAATTCAGCTTTGCCATCACAGGAATAAATGACAATAAATTAGAAAGCAGTTATCTCAAAGCAGTTATCTCAAATCATAAGATTGCCGTGTTTCACAATATTACTGTTTACATTTTATTTTTATCAAATAAGTGAGCCTCAGAGACTTCTTTCAAAAACATTAAAATATCTCACCAACCACAAACTTTCAATGGTATTATTTACACAGCTAAAACGCTGTTTCAAGTTTCAATTCGGGTTTGAATAGATCTTTTATTCTGAGAGGAATCTCTTGAAAAAAAAAACACTTTAGATCGTTTCAAATGACTGTGTGAAATGTTTTAGAACAAAATTTGGAAGTATTTAGGAATTTTACCTGCAGACCTTAATTTACTGATAAATCGAAACTGCTATTGTTGAATACTTTTAGGTATTTCCCAAGGACACCCGTACTTTTCCGGGTTCTAGGACCATTGAACAGCTGTTATAGTTCTCTACCAAACACGACTCGCTTTAGGACCAAGCGTCGTACTTAACTCTTACAACTGAGGGATAGCACTCGACTTGATTTTGAACAAAGTTCCTGTCTCTGCTTAAGCCCATACATTGTCGAAACAGACTGAGTGGGACTGGAGTTAGAGTATCCATACCGTTTTTCCTTCCTTAAACGAATGAAAGGATCCTCTGGACGCTCGTTTCACCTGCGGCTGGGAGCGACACCTGCCTCAGGTACTTTCATGACACAAGGTGCGAAGGGCGTTGAACCGCCGCGGAATTTAGCTTAGGCCGTACACTTTAGTTTAACCTTGTTTTTTTTGTCACATGTTTGTCGTTATTCGGCATTGTTGAGATGTTTGCCTTCGCTCACAGAACACCGGAGAGACTTTAGGATGATGTCACCGTTACAAAGTTTCTTTTACCAGCCTATTGTTTCAAATAGTTTAAACATATAGCCTAGTGAGTGACAGCCAGAACCTTCCTCGTGATAGTTTCGTGCAGAGGCAGACAAAGTACTCAACTCCATTACTTGAGTGAAACTACAGATACTGCTGGTCAAATATTACTCCATTACAAGTAAAAGGACAGAAATACTTGCTTTTAAAAGTACTTAAGTACCAAAAGTAAATTTCCTTTTTTATGTCAATGCACTGTTTTATTGTTGTACTTACTAGTACTTGCAATACTTCTGAAGCAACTTAGAATACATTACACCTGCTGAATACACTGACTAGCTTGTAGTATATTTGGAATAAAGAGCTTTTAGAATGTTAAAAATCTATGGGGGAAAAAACAAAACAAAACAAATTTAACACCCCTACCCACCCCCACAAAAGCAGGATGGTAGTGATTCAACCACATTTGAACAGCGTGGACAATGAAATCCTGTAAATACAGAGTGATAAGGAAAAAATAAAACCTGCTTTAAAACCCAGCAACACAACTGTAGCTGTATAACTTTACAGCAGCAACACTGCTTTAACAAAAAAGCAAAACAAAATATCACCCACTGACTTTCAAAGCTGCCACATAGAAATGACTTTCTACTTCGAGGACCTTGATAGAAATGTAGTGGAGTGAAAAGTACAATATTTGTCTTTCAAATGTAGTGAAGTTAAAGTCATAAGTTCCCAGAAAAAATAATACTCAAGTAAAGTACAGATACTCAAAAAGTGTACTTAAGTACAATACTCAAGTAAATGTACTTAGTCACTGTCCGCCTCTGGTTTCGTGTCTGTAAGATGACATTCATACATCAATCATTTATATTTTATGGCATTTTAGTGCCCATTTGTTTGTAAAATTGTCCCTCAATATTCACTTCTGATGTCATCGATTTTTTTTTTTTTTTTAGTGTAACTAATAGAATGTTGTCACGAGTTGGCCTAATTCTAATTGTTCAGTCATTTTTAATCTTTAAAACCAAATCTTTAAGCAAAATTATGAAGGTCATTCATTTTCCCCAAGATATTTTGTACTGTAAACAATGACGCTGAAAAACTGTAGAAATAGCCTACGATCTGCTAGGGTTGCCCTTATAAAGCTTTACCATGGTAACCGGCCAATTTCCAAGGTTACTACTTATTGTTAAAGCTGAATCATCATAAATTATTATGCCATCTCGTCCAAACAGTGTAAGAAGCTTATGGAATTACGTTTTTTGTTTTGTTTTTTTCCTTCTTTTTTTTGGCTTCCACAGTAACAATAGTAGTATGGTACTTTGGTGGTAACTACAGGTATGTTGGTTAACGTCTGCTTGTATCGGTATTAAAGCTGTACATTTATTTATGTATGTATGTATGTGTATATATTCATCTTATTTTACATGGAAACAAGACAATCTAATATAATTCTAACATACAAATGAAAATGGAACACAATACACAACATATGTACATCATTTTAAATAATTAAACAGCACCATAGCTCAATGTCAAAAATAAATTAATTAAAAATAGGCTAGTCATCATAACTCTCATGCTAAAAGATTGATTTCTAACTTCATGTGTCACTTTCTCCATCGGTTTCCATAGTTGTTTTTGAGTGTTTGAGGTTTTTGGTTTGTCACTTCCATTTTTATTATTATTATTATTATTTATTATAGCGATTGGAGTACGAGTATAGTGTGAGTGGCCTTGTTTTACCCACAGTTAACCCAATTGTATTGTAACAGTTCATTTTAATGTGTTATTGTGTGGCGATTCTGCTTTGTATTCTGTAAGAATAAGTTCAGATAAGGTCATGGGGTGCATGTTTAGATGGGGCATTTAGTGACCTGTGGTTCTGTGTCTGTTTACTTCAGGACACGGAGCAAGTGTTGCTCTTGTGTATTTGGACAGGCCTTGCTATATGTCTCGGTGTGAGGAACAGGAAGCGAAGGAGACAACAGGAAACTACAGGTGTAGGCGGAGCTGATTATGTGGATCGTGTCCATAGAGATCAGGATGAGGAGTGAGTGCTGCTCTATACTCCTTAAACTTTCTTTGTTAACTTTCATTTCAAATAAATGCTTTTGCTTTTTTTTTAGCTTTCTATGCATCAAAGAATCATGAAAAATTTATCCAGTTTCATAGAAATTAAGCAGCAGAGCACAACAGTTTTTAACATTGATAATAATAATAATAAGTGTTATGATGTTATAATGGCTGCTGAAAATTCACATTTGCCATCACAGGAACGATACGTTTTTAAAAGATATTAAAATAGAAAATAAAATAAATGAATGCAGCCTTGGTGAGATTCTTTAAAAACATTTTTACAAAATGTACAGATCACAAAACGGGTATGTGTGTGAGAAAGATAGAATAATTTGTATTTATCAATATTGTGTGTATTTTTTTTATGAATAGTTGTACCAAGTTGTATAATGAAACATGTCTAGTCTTCATGCTCTGTTGACTGTGGTTTCACTAATGATAAACATACATTTGCATAAAGCATCCATATTTGTCCATGCCCATGTTGATTAGAGTATTAAAAACTTGAAAAGTATTAATTTAAGGTACATTTTGAACAGATAAAAATGTTCGATTAAGTTGCAATTAATCATGAATTAACTCATGACAATAATGCGATTTAATTGCGATTAAATATTTTAATTGATTGACAGCCCTATTTTATATATATATATATATATACACACACACACACTGAACAAAATTATAAACACAACACTTTTGTTTTTGCCCCCATTTTTCATGAGCTGAACTCAAAAAAACTAAGACTTTTTTTATGTACACAAAAGGCCTATTTCTCTCAAATATTGTTCACAAATTTGTCTAAATCTGTGTTAGTGAGCACTTCTCCTTTGCCGAGATAATCCATCTACCTCACAGGTGTGGCATATCAAGATACTGATTAGACAGCATGATTATTGCACAGGTGTGCCTTAGGCTGGCCACAATAAAAGGCCACTCTAAAATGTGCAGTTTTACTGTATTGGGGGGGTCCGAAAACCAGTCAGTATCTGGTGTGACCACCATTTGCCTCA